AACAAAACCATTATACCCTGATTTCCCATTTTCAATGGGTTCAGGGTAAAAAAATGATGCTCAAATTAAAAAAAAAAAAATTTGTAGTGCTGTAGTGCTTGTAAAGTCGATATGCGCGTAATACACGGTCCTAGGAAAAAAATTTTAAGTCTCTAGCGTTTATATCTTCTGAGATGGACGCGTTCATACATACGGACTCTAGCGCAAAGTGCGGAGAGACAGAGAAAAAAAATCAACCAAAGTGTTTCTGTTCTCTATATCAAAAGAGAGACACAGAAAAAAAATCAACCGAAGTGTTTCTGTACTCTATATCAAAAAAGAGACAGAAAATACTACCAAAGGGTTTCTGTTCTCTATCTCAAAAGAGAGACAGTAAAACTACAACAACAAGCAGCAAATAACGACGAAAAAGGGCGTCTCTCATCAAAAGCGTCAGAAGCCAACAGGAGTCACATGAAAATCTTCAGGCGTCCCTTCAGAGCGGTTAAGATAAAGACAAGACGTAGTTTAATTTTATTCATTAAAATAATAAAAATAAAAATAAAATTTGAAATAATAAAAATATAAAAATGCTGTTAGAAAAATTTAAAAAGGTTTTTAAAAGTGTCAAGATTAAAACAATTAGACTCATCAGAGGAGATTAGGCCACCGAGCGAAATTTTAGAAGAGCTAGACAAAATAAAAGATGAGTTAGAAAATAATCATACCTTATTGTTAAAAGTGGAGGTAATAGACCTTGCATATTTCAACAATAAGGAATTCGATAAAGCAAAAAGTATAACAGATATGAAATTATAAATGATGAGAGCTGAGAAAGACGAAGATACAGAAGAGGTTAAGCTACTCCTTTGCCTTCTAAGCCAAGTCGCTGTTATCGTAAATGCAATTATGTTTTGCTCAATGAATTAATTAATTCTACAGACTGGTTATGAGTCTATGGATATTAATTTGACAGTATCGATTTTTTATACAACCTTAAACTCTATTCCGGATGTGTGCGCTCCTCTCTGCCGTATTTCGCCCGTTTCAAATAAGCCGCCTTGGTTCACTAAGACTCTTTCGAATTTAAGAAGCATTAAAACTAAATCTTTTAAGAACTATAAAAAGTCTGGTTCAAGTGTCGACTTGTCTAAATATTCCATAGCCAAGTCTAATTTCAATCGTTGTTATGAGAATTATCTTATTTGTAAACTTTAAGTGCAATTCTTCTGGGTTGCCGTTCACATTTGTCCTTGGTACTGAAAAAACTCGTAATGACCAGGATTCCTCTGATCTATTTGCAGATTTTTTTCAATCCACTTTGTCTGAACTTACCGACGCATGCGCCTAGATTATTTCTGTGAAATCCATCTGCGCAAGGCCTATGAGAGAATATAGCTGAACCCAAATTAGTTGAAAAACTAGTATCAAAATTCGAGCTTTTGTCAGCCTTGTTTGATACATCGTATTGATTTCGGTCCCTGTATGTGCCAGCTAATGGAGATAGAGTCGTTGTTATACTGCTTGTCGCTAATGCTGCTCTTGTTGTTGATGTTATTTTCTTGTGGCATCGAAACGATCCTTTTGTATTATAGCAGTCGTAATTCAGTGGACAATTGTGTGTATTAAGCGCACATTCATCATCATCTGAAAATGTACAATACATTAAAAAACAAACGAAAAATAAGCCGCATATTATTTAAATTTACAATTATACCTTGAACTTATTGAAAGTGGGAAATAAGGGTGTTATAATAAATGAACGTATTTAATAGGCACAAAGGGACGTGTCAGACCCCACAAAGTATATGTCGAAGCGCACTGTAAATGTGCTTTCTTCCTACTTGCCTATTTCCCTTTCTGCATGCCTTCGTATTTGTGCGTGTGTGTGTGTTCGATGCCCTTGAACAAAGAATGCAAGTTCTATGCCAGGGTATTGTGATTGTTTTGGTCTCATACGAGCACAGCAGCCATAGTGAAGTTGTTAAGAGTATTTAGAGTGCAGCATGTGAATGCGTATGGTTTTGCTATTTTGTGTGTTTTTTAAATACGCCTTTTACAAAATTTGTGGTGAGGGGGTGGAGTGTTAATTTTAACAAAAATTGTATAAAATGAAAAAATATAATTTCATAATTGATTTTCGATAAGGCTTTTAATCGATAACAAATTAACGGAAAGAGGTTTCGATTTAAAGAACAACTCGATATTCGCGTGATATACAAGGACTAATATATCTTCTAAGATATATAAGACGCGATCATACATACGGACGGACAGGCGGACAGGGCTAAATCAAATGTTGAAATTTTCATTAAATTCCGTTAAGTACATCGACATTAATAAAAAAGAGTGCTCTAGTCGAGACTGCTCGACTAGGAGATACCCTGAACCCTCTGAACCCATCTGATATTTTAATCCTTTTTCACTTCTTATCCACTTCTTTATGCACACATACATACACGCACGCACGCATAAACCCGCAAACTGCCTAGTAAGCAGCGACTGCGCTGCAGTGTGGGTATGAGAGTTTATTTATTAAATATTTTAATTTTTTTGACGTACAGTCTTAATGGAACTTTCAGAACGTAATCAGTTCATTCAAAAGCTCAAAAGTTTGTAACAAATTGGTGGTGAATAACAAAATATTCGTACTCATCATAAAGTATATACACAATCCCCAGGTCTAATAGTATTCAAATGAGGCTGGAAAAACAAATTCCATTTTTCGATTATTCTCGATCAAAAAATTATCGGATGATTTAATGAATTTCAAAAAGAAGACAAACTTCTACTGCGTATGGTATACTCGAGTATGCATGCCAAATTTGAGCTCTCTAGCTTTTGTATCTTCTGAGATTGACACACTCATGCGGACGGACAGTGTTTTATCGACTCAGCTCGTCGTCCTGATCAAGAATATATATACTTCATGTGGTCTGCGATGATTCTTTCTGTCCGTTACATACTTTTTCACAAAACTATAATACCATGATTTCCCATTTTCAATGGGCTCAGGGTATAAAAACGCACTCCGCTCACTGCGCAGTAAGCAGCGGCTGCGCTTGGGCTGTGCTGCGACGTTTTTTGGTTTTTGTCTGAGACTGAATGTAAGTGCAATAACAAAATAACGGGGAAAGTTATCGATTTTTGTATGAAAACCTCGATATCTCCGTTGTATACACGGACTTAGGAAAACATTTTTCAAAACTCCACCTCTTATATCTTCTGAGATTGACGCGTGCAAACATGCGGACAGACGGACAAGGCTAAATCGACTAAGTTTGAAACCCTGATCAAGAATATATATACTTTTAAGGTTTGCCACGCCTCCTTCTGTCCTTTACATATTCGATTCAGCAGCTAAGTTATTCACTAGCCACACAACTTTGAATTTCCTCGGCTCCTCACTTTTAGATTCGAGGTACGAAAATATACGAAAGCACAATCATTTTGCTTCATGCGCTCGACTGAGATGGTTGACTGCTGAACAAAAGATCACTCTATGCTCAATGTTTCTCTTGCTTTCTCTCGAAATCTAAAAGATTTCTGTATACCCTTCCCTTCGGTATACCCTTCACTCAAAAGGAAAGAGCTGGGATCGTCCCGAACAAATTTCTATTTTTGTTGTCTGCTGAGCTTGAGTTTATATATCCTAAGCTATAAGAGCTAGAAGCTTCAAAATTGGATACGACTCATTAAGGGCGTGGCATATCGAAACATACCCTGTAATTTTCACATTTTTTATTCAAATTTTGCAGTCAGATTACCGTTAGCTCGTTCTATGAACTTACTTATTTCTAGGAAGGGTATGAAAAAGCTTTGAGGCGCATAAAGAATATGTTTTGGCGATGAGCATGCACACACGATTTCAGTCCCTCGCTACATGTAAGAGCGTTTGTGTGCCTGGGTATACAACTCTTGCTGCCTGTGCAGATTGTATAGGCTTGTGAAGTGAGCCCATGCATTTGAATATGTGTTTATTTTATGGATGAGAGGATAACTGTATCGCGATTCAGTAGTTTGTCAATTTTGTATGGTTTGAATTGTAGAGTGACTGTCAAATGAGCCTTTATGACTTAATTAAGTTGAAGAAGTTACTAGTTACTCAACTATCTAAATTTTAAGCTTTTAGCTCTTAAACTGTAGGAGATATAAACTTTCGCGGTTTGCCACGCTCCTGTGGACGGACCATCCGCCATAGGTCTTGGTCTTGGGTGGTCAGCCTGAGTACAAAATGTCCAGCATCAATGCTGTCCAAAATATAACAGAATTCAGGTGCGATTTGCCAGGACCCTAATGCGCGTAGACATACAATATATATATATATATATATATATATATATATATATATATATATCGGATAAAACTGTGTCTCCTATAGTTTTACGTTCTAGCTTTAAAACTATAGGAGACACAGTTTTATCCGGTTCGCCCCCGATGGGATGGATATATGCGTTATAAATTGTTGAGTAGGATAGTCTGCACGAATATACAGTCCAATTTCAGTTTGTTAGCTCGTCAACTAATATGATTTCTGGCATATCGGAAAATGCATTTGTATGGAAAATGCATTCTTTGATTTGCCACGCCCCTAGTAGGCAGATCTGGAAAACTGAAAGTGTTAATTTTATTAATCGGAGATAAAAACAATTATGTGTTCCAATTTGAATAGCGCCGAAAAAATTACGTTCATACGAACAGTCGGTCAGATGGTCACTTTCGTGAAAGAGTATGCAAATTTCAACTAGCTCTATCTTCTGAAACCGTTCAAATATAGGGACAGACGGATGACGACTCAGCTCGTCGCACTGATCTGCCACGCCTCTGCCTGTTACATACATATAACAAAACCATTAGACCCTGATTTCCTATTTTCAATGTGTTCAGGGTATAAAAAGTGTTGTGTTTTACATTTTTTTAATTAAGAGTACAAGACACATTATCCTTATCCACTTATACATAATATTTTATACAATGGAAATTGAGTTGTTAGAATTTAACATAAGTACTATGGAATAAAAAATGGTTTTAACTTAACTTAAAAATTAAAATTAAAATTTATATTTATATTTAATTTTGGCAGATACACGCATTTTAATGGTATAATGACGACCTGAAAGTTTCATGAGCATAGTTCATCATCAAGAAAAGTTATCAAGCTATTAAGTTGCCATAGTAAGTCCACAGTGCAGCCAACGCGTATGTGTGTGTGTTTCTTGTGTGAGCAGAAAGACGTGAAGAATTATTTTAAAATATAAATTCTTCGATGGGTTCAGAGGATTTCGTAGTCGAGCAGTCTCGACTAGAGCTTTCTTATTTGTTTTAATTCTATAAAGAGGTGGGTGGTATTATGTTCTGAGCGGAAACCACACACTCACTCAGATGAGAGCAGGCTAATTGGTCTGTATGAAGTAGAGAATTCTGGATGCTTGGTTGCTTTTAAAATGGGTATGACTTTAGAAGTTTTCCAATTTCGTGTGAAATAACCAAGTGGACTAGAAGGGACTCCTTCATTTATAATGAATGTCAAATATTCTTTTCCTTTTCGAGGGAGTGATTTGAAGCATAAGCTGCCAATATTATCAAGGCCTGAAGCTTTCTTAGATTTCAGATCTTTTAGAAGTGTTGAAATCTTCTGAAGGTGTGTTTAGTGATTCTCGTCATTTACGGTAAGCCAAGAGTACAACGTAGCTATGGATCACTTAGATTAATTTAATGCGAATGATTCACGGGAAATGTAGATGCTAATAACTCCGATTTTTGTTATGCATTAGTGAAAATTTCTTGGTTGTGGTGTGTGGTTGTGTTTTAGAAATGGAATGCTTATATGTTTATAATTTTGGTAAATTTCTAAAGTGAGCAAAAATTTTGGTCAAGCGAGGATAAAAGAATGCTCCAAGACTCATTTTTCAGTTTATTTTATGTCTTAGTATTGACAAGTCGACTGAGCCTTCTAACTTAAACCTAATAAGGTATATTTCTGTGTCTCAGCCAGTTTCAACGGTGACAATTTCTATGTTTTATTAGGAAGATTATATTGTGAGACATAGGTTGTTGTTTGAAATGTATTTCTATTCATGGGATGCTACGTTCTTTTACAGAAAGGATATTTGAGTTGAAGTCGTTTATTAAATTGTTTAATCATCTTGTGTTCGTACTAACTTTTGCTCATAGCAGAATTTCGACACTGCTCCACTACGAGATCTTCTGAACCCTTCAAGCAACTTATTATTTCAATAATAATTCGCACACACACACACACGCACATACACAGGCGACTGCGCTTGGGCTGCGCTGCAGTGCTGGCAATATTTTGAGAATTTATTTCTTTAATTTAATAATTTAATTTCTAGACGTACAACCCTAATGAAACTTTCAGAACGTAAACATAATGTTTAAACGCATGTACATTCCAGTCTCTAGCTCTTCTATCTTCTGAGATCGACGCGTTCAAACATACGGACAGGGCCAAATAGACTGAGATCGACGCCCTGATCAAGAATATATTTACTTTTTCACAAAACCTTCATACCCAGATTTCCTATTTTCAATTGGTTCAAGGTATAAAAATCACTATATCTTCAGGTCCGATTTAATATGATTTCTGATATATCGGAAAATGCATCTTCCGATTTGTCACTCCCCTATATTGGAGATATACACGATTATATGTTACATGCCTCTAGCGCCGAAAAAGTCCATACCGACAGACAGACGGGCGGACGGACGGACTATATTCATTATACTCACTCACGAAAGTGAAATGAGTATATTGGTTTTGTGCAATGTCCGTCTTGCTGTCTGTCCGCCTGTCCGTATGAACGCAATATATTTCGGCGCTATTGAAGCTAGAGACTTAAAATTTTGAACATATACTCGTGTATATCTCCGATTTATAAAGTGTTAAAATCGGATCTGAAAATATAGTGATTTTTCAAATTCTGCTATATTTTCGGCACTATTGATGCTAGAGACATCAAATTTGGCAATATACTCGGGCTGACCTCCCAAGACGAAAAAGCTTTCTATAGTATTAGGCTAAATTTAGCTACTAAATTGCTGATGAGGTGTGAATGAGTATTCCGCAGATGGTAACGCCCGACTGCAACGTTCTTACTTGTTTTACTTTCGTGAATGAGTAGAATATTTTTCAAAATGCCTGAAATTAAAACGCATCGAATTCCTATGTTTTAGTTAAAATTAATTAATCTTTGAAAATAACTCATTACGGGATTGCTTCGAAACATATTGCTGCTACTCAAACTTTTCAATAACTTTTTTAAGGAGGCATAATATCCTGTATCATCAGTTTCTTAATCTCATAATTTATTAATCTCCTAATTTCACACGTCTTCTCTTGTTCA